CCAGGAAACCACTATAACAAGCCTATTTCATTGAAAGAGGTGCTTTTTGGGGTTTTTGAGCCTTTCCATGAAGTGTGGACGAGAAAACCAGGAGAACAAGTTTAAAGCATTGAAATAGACTCCTTTTGAGCTTTGCCGTCGGCAGCTTAATTTCAAGCCAGGTCGGGTCGTTAATTCCACTATTTTCGGGTGACCTCGGGTGACCTCGCTATAAATTGACCAGATACATACATACATACATACATACATACATACATTCATACATACATACATATGCACACACCCATACAAGTATGCATGTGTGTATGTAGTAGGTAGGTAGGCAGGTTCGAGGTAGGTAGGTCGGTCGGTAGGTAAGGCAAGGTAAGGTAAGGTGGTAATGTAACGCAAGGTCAGGTCAGGTCAGGTAGGTAGGCAGACAGGTGAGTTCGCAGATAAGTAGGTAGGTAAGTAGGTAGATAGGTGGGTAGGCCGCTAGGCAAGTAATAGGCAGGTAGGGAGGTTCTTGTTCAAAAACTTAGCTGAGGAAGCCATAATAATACTGGGCCTTGGCTGCTATTCAGGTGCTTACTTCAAAAAGCAAAGCAGGTGGTATGTAGTAAACATGCGCTTTCCTTCACAATGGTAGCTTGAACCTATCTTTCATCCAGACCCGGATCTGGGGATTCTTCTCAGGTGCTTCTCTAATAGCAACCCTCCAAGTCCCCCGTGTCATGAGCCTTACAAAGTTAACCCTAAACCCTAAATCCTAAGCCTCCAAGTCAGGCTTAAAACAAGGGGGGGCCCTGCTTCAGGAGTACCTCGCCGGCGAGTTTCGCTCCTGCGTAGCCTTGAACTTCTTAAAGGTTAGGGTTGGGGGTCTAGGGTTTGGGGGCTCAGGGTTTCCTGGCTTAGGGCTGCTTCGGGTTTAGGTTCAAGGTTCAGGACCACCTTCTCAACACTCACTTCTCGACACTTCGATCAGCGAGGAGACTCAAAACACCCCGAAACTCAAATCCCCAAACCCTAAACCCTCACCCCTAAACGCTAAACCCCTCAAAGGTAACCTAAAACTCAAGCCCACAGACCCAAAACCCCAAGCGGCCTGAAACCCTAAACCCTACAAGCTGACCTTTTATAAAACCCTTTATAAACCCTACTCCCTAAAACCAAAGCCCTAAACCCTAAACCGCCTAGCCCCTAAACCCTAAACGCTAAACCCCAAACCCTAGTCCCTAAATCCAAAGCCCTAAACGCTTAAACTACAAAACTCCAACCCATGGGGAAGCTCCCAGCTTTGCCCTCTGAGCCAAGGTTTAGGGTTTAGAATTGGCTTAGGGTTTAGTAACAGGGTTTAGGGTTATCAATATGTTTAGGGTTCCGTAAGTTCTAGCGTTTCGGGCTTACAACAGGTTTTAGGGCTTAGGATTTACAATAGGTTTAGGGTTTAAGGTTTAGTAGTTGCAGCCTCAATCTTAAGAATACGATTGATGGTATAAACCCTGCACTACCCATAATAAGGAATAGACCATAACTCCCATAGTTTGGGGTCCGTATACAGTAGTAGCCCAAAAGTTGGAAACCCAATAGCCTCAATCGTTAAGAGTAGTGTATAGGGAATCCCAGCACTATTTGTCCTTAATCCGGTTTCCAACTTTTTGGGGTTTACTGTAAGGTAATGCAGGATTCACATCTTCAGCCGGGTTGTTCTCTAAATTAGGGTTGCTTTGGGGGGCCATTTTATAAGGGTGCCGTACTATATTGGGCACCTAAAAGGGAACCATAGTTTAGAGAACTACCTTAAACCCTAAACCCTAAAACCCTAAACCCTAAGCCCCCCTAAACCCTAAACCCTAGTTTAGAGAACTACCCAGCCGTAGTGCTAGTACCCATTTTGGGTCCGGGGGCGGGTAGAAGGCCTCCTCACGGGAGTTCCCGTAGATTCCAAGCTTGGCCCCTCCAAGCCTTCTTGGAGCTTCTTGGGCTCGGGGTCTTCGGTGGTTTGGGGGCCGAGGGGGCCGAGGGACTTTTTAGACAGGGTTTAGAGGTTTTGGGTTTTGGGGTTTCGGGTCTTCAGCTTGGAGATTTTCGGTTTTCTAAATGCTAAACCCTCAAGAAAGAAAGAAATAGAAATTGCTTGTTGCTGTTGAATTTTGTTTCCGGTCAGGACACAAACCAATTTCCGCTTCAGCATTAAGCAAGTCAACCCACCACGATGGCCCAGCACAAACCGCTCCACCAGCCACCAGCCCAGCCCAGCCCCCAGCCGAGCCCAGCCCAGAACTTCAAACCCTAAACCCTAAACTCTAAACCCTCAAACTCTAAGCCCATCAGCTAATGAACCTTGAACCCTAAACCCTAAACCTTAGGGCTCGGAGCTTTGGGTTTCAATGCTTCGGGGCTCAGAGGGGGTTAGGGCTGATGCTTGGGAGTCCAGGGTTTCTGGCTTGAAGGTCTAGGATTCGGGGGCTCGGGCTGTTCAGGTTTACGGCTTGGGGATTGGGGGTTGAGGGTTTGGGGGTTTAGGGTTTAGGCTTTTGGGTTTTAAGGTTTAGGGCTTGGGGTTTAGGGGTTTAGGGGTTTAGGGTTTAATTAGGGTTTTGGGTTTTAAGGTTTAGGGCTTGGGTTCAGAGTAAAGTGTACCCTCCACCTAGGCCCTGACGTGCCGTTTGTGGTATGACCGTCTGAGCCCAAACCCTAAACCCCAAACCAACAAAAAGGAAGCTAGTTGCAGGGCCCAGGTGAAACGGACCAGCTGAGATGCTGGCAATCATGAGCATGGACGCAGCATGACTGCGGTGGCTCTTGAGATGTGCGAATCGTGAAGGCTCAGGGGTTTTTGAGTTTAGGGCCAGGAAAAATACGCAAAAGCCTTCCAGAGCCGTGCTGCAAGAGTCACGCGGCCTCTAAGAGGACCCCCACAGCACCCTTTAATAGAGCCCTGATGATACTTAATGGTGCGTACTTTGGGTATATTGGAGGGTAGCTGGGGGGTCTAGGTAACCCTAAACCTTCGACTCCCAAACCCTTCAACCCTGAACGGGCCTCTTGATGTACTCGTTTTTCAGGAAGTCGCGCGTGCCGAAAAGATCCGCGCTAGTCATCTTGCCCTGCGCAAAGCTCTTCTCGATGACCTCCTCGTACTCTGCCCAACCATCCTTCGGGCATTGCAAAAAGGGTTAAACGGGGTCCTGATGTAGAGGTATTTTAATCTAGAGGATAAGAAGGCCAGAGTTGCACGGTTGGTTTACTATACTGTGATTACATTGGGGAGACGTGATTAAGGAAATTAGTTACATAGGCCCCCTATACAGGCCACGTCGAACGCAAGCTCGTGCAACATCGTAAAGCAGGATCCTGTTGTCAGGGTCGCAAGGCGTGTGTAAGGATTCGGAAGCCGTAGAGAAGTGAGAAGACGGACCAGATCTATCAGACTTCGCATGCCTGATAAGATGGCCCGGGAAGCTTAATGTAGAGGCCTTACCATTTGGTTGCTTTGGAGGAGGGGGGAGGCATTCTTATGTCATAGTGGGAACTCCCGGGTAGGTGCATCAATTCTTCAGGCTTCTATATGAGTATCATCAGGGCCACGAACAAAGCATCCGGGGCTGCATAGCTTAGTAGCCTTCCGGATTTGGGGTTTCTTCTGGCATCCACCGCTCGTGATGAGACACGAGCTGTCACTCAAAGGGGCGTTTTCAGACAGGGAGGGACCCAGACCTCCCTAAACCCGAAAACCTAAGATACTAGAATCCTACTACTTACTTGTCCAGTATCCAAGGGAAACAAAAGTTAAGCTTTGGGTTTATACAGGGACTATAGTACCAGTTAAAAAGGTTAAAGGTTACCTAAACTGCTACTAAAATTGAAGTTCTACAAGCCCCCGGTATCTCCTTGCAAGAACGTGTACGCCGCACTAGCTGACTTCCGGATGTTTGCAGTGCCCCCTCTCCTGCCTTTGGAAGCAGGGACAAGGTTTAAAAAAAAACAGAAAAGCCCCAACAACCAGCGTTCGACTAGATGTCCATACCTTGCTGGCGAAAGGGCGTATCTCAAGCTGGTGGTTTTCGTTTTGAGGCGTGCTGCAGTCTGCTCAAGGTATGCATGCTGCTCTGAACACCGCATGCTCCATCTGCCGGGCGGGGTTGTCAGGGTTCGAAGTTAAACCCTAAACTTACTTCCCCAATAAGCTAGGGAAATAAACGGTTAAACTTTCCAATTACTACTAAATTCTAAGAACCCGAAAAAAATTGAAAGATTGGGTATTGGTGAACCAAACGCTTATCCTAGCCTAAACCCCATGAGCAATTAAGCCCTAAACCTCAAGCCCCAAGTCCTATAAACCCTATGGACCTGAACTATGAAACCATCAGAAAAGAGCTTCATAACAAGCCTATATACCTCCATTGAAATCCCAATATATCCGAAGGAGCTCTGCCGCCAGAAACTCATCCTTCTTCCCTAAACCCTAAACCCCTGAATATTCTTCAACCCTAAACCCTAAACTCTTATAGATCCCTTTAAGCAGTGATTTTAAAGGTAGCCCTGCCAGAAACTCGTCCGAGTCCTTCATCCCGAGCTCAAGAGCTTCGACGATTTCTGGGGGAGACTCCTGGAGCAAATATCAGGGGCCTTCAGAGGAGAAAGACTGTTCCTTTTAAGGGAAGCGAAGAAGGGTGTAGGGTTCAGGGTTTAGGGTCGAAAAGAGTTTATGAAGGGTTTAGGGGCCTTCAGAGGAAAAAGAAGGTTCCTTTGACAGGGTTCCTTTAAAAGGGGCGCTACAAAGGCTACCATAAGAGTTGAATATCCGTGCTATAATGGTTCAGGGCTTAGGAATAGCCAAAGGCCTTCAGAATCCAAAGAGCAGTGCCTATCCTGTGAGGATCCTTTTAGGGCTCTGTAATAAGGGTTCTTAAAAATAAAAGGGTGCCTCAGGGGATATTACCGTCGCCGTTGGTAGGTTTCAGGTTCAGGATGTGCAGAAGATGCAGAGTAGGGCGTCGGATGACACTTATCCGGAAGGCCCTTTCATGGGATCTGGGTTTTGGCAAACCCATGTTCACCCAGTCTCTCTATGTATATTCGTTGCCATGAACCAATGTATGTATGTGTATGTGTATATATATATAGATGTATGCATGTGCATATATACCTATACATAAAGTCGTCATCATCATCATCACCATCATCATCATCGTCATCATCATCAACATATATCATCATGATCATCATAATCATCATCATCATCTTCTTCTTCTTCTTCATCATAATACTCATCACCATGCCATCATCATATTCATCATCATGCCATCAGCATCATCATTTTTCGCCATCATAACCTTCCTACCAACCTCCGGGTCATTGCGTGCGATTGTAGCGATTTTTATTGATTATGGTGAAACTCGCATTGATAAGTAGCCATGATGCCTCGTGCCCTAAACCCTAAATAGCCCCCTGCACCGAAGCCTTATAAACCTTTCAACGCAACATCAATGCCAGGATCTGGAAGCATGTATCAGACACGAGCAAGAGACACACAGTTCAGCAAGGCTCCCTTCCCAGCCTGTGGTGGGCAGGCAGCACGAAAGCTTTGGAAGGAATTGAAATCCTTGTTGGCACCCGGATCACTTGTGAGCTCATCCCCAGGTTTGGCATGGTTGCAGACGAGACTTGGAGGCTGCACCCGCTGGCCCCGCCATAATAAGCTTCGCCATCTGATGCATTTTGTTTCGGGAACAGCGGTCACATACATCTGAATCTTTGGGGTCTTGCCCTGTCGAAGTGTGCAGCTTAGCTGGGAGGCAGTGGCAGCTCGGTTTTCAGCAGGCAGCTGCAGAGGCCTGTCCACATGGTCATGCTCGGCCGCACTGCTTTAATGATACATAACATAGCACCACGGAAAGCTCTACCGGTCTAGCCGATCGATTTCAGCCGTCGAAGCCTACCGTGAGGAAAAAGCAGCTGCAGCCGCATCGGAAGTGGAGCCGTCAAGGGCCCAGATGCCTGTGGAGCCCAGGGACTGCATCGGAACAGCCACAGCTACTCGTAGTTCCGAGTGCTCGTCGTTCTCCAACAGGTAAGTGCAATGATCCGTTATAGTTGAAAGTACTGGTCAGCTGCTGTGCCAATTCATCACCTGAACATGTTTTTGGTTCTATGAACTTGTTAAACTTCTTACTCACTTATGTGTTCTTGCGATGCACATATATTGTGCGAATGTGTGTGTGTACAAATGTAAATATGTATACTATGTTGCAACATACCAGCATACGGACATAAGTACAGTTTTCAAACCGAGGCCAGCAGAGGAGGAAGCAGCGGAAGGCCACGTCTCCCACTACAGCTCACAGCATGAGCAGTTCTGACTAGGAGCACCGGTGGTGCAGCCAGAGCACTCGCATAGGACATGGTTCAATTGACTTGGCTGTTGGGTCGAGGTTCTTTTTGCATAGTATGTATAGAAAGTAAGACAGACCGTGTCTGCCTCCAAGCTTTCCACGAATGATGGCCTCAGCTTAAATGGCAGAACAATGCAACATCTTTTTGCAGCGTCTTGCTTGGGTGGCAGTGCTCTGCTTCGCATGGTGGATGAGGAGACCGTGCGCAGTACTCTCGTCGAGTTTGTGTGTCATTAATTACCCTAAACCCTGAACCCCTAAACCCTATAAGCCCGAAAAGCATGTTCCATGAACAGGTCCGCCCCTCCCCTTCGCTGATTTGCAGCTGGGTCTTGGCCTTGGCAGCCCTCAGTCGTTTGCCTTCCAGGGACACGGAGAACTCAATGCCCCTTAATTATGGAATATACCTCAAGTTATGTAGGCCTCAAATTGTAGGAGCCTGATACTCCTTTATTATGGAATATACCTCAAATTATGGGGGCCTTTTTAAATGATATAAGATATACTCCTTATTTACGGGGTCAACCTGGGGACCCGGTCCAAAGAAGGAACCGAGCAGCTTACGGTTACATTCCGGGGGTTCTGTGCGAGCGACTGGGGAGAGGTGCTTTCTGGCTGGTGCTTCCGTCGAGTTCACGCGTCACGGCTCGGCCGCACCATGAGAGTGCCAGAAAACGAGGACAAGTCTTGACACCTCGCTTACTGGGAGTGACAAAGTTATAAAGACTCGGAGTTCTGGCAAATGGCCTTGGTGTGATCATTCACTCCGTAGCAGGGCGCCATTACTAGTTGTGCTGCAGATTGAGTTCATTCTGTTTGCACAAACAAGATCCCATGGAGCAGGTCCGCTAGTCTGTTGGCAGTCTTGCTTTTCGTCGGATTCGTACAAGTATTTCCTTCTTGTGTTTGTCACTGCTTGCTCTTATCGACACAACCAGAAGTGCTGTTCTTGCTATGTGTTGCTTGTAATCACTGACATGATGCGACATGGTTCTTGTTCAAGCGGTGCTTGTGCGAGTGCTATGATGTTTTTATCAGGTTTGGAGCCAATTGCCTAGTACAAGTGCGACGAGCGTTGTGATAACGGGAAAAGAACGATAATGCCGATGACGGTGATGATGTTTCTGACGATGATGACGGACGCGTTGAAGAAGACTGTATCGGTTTGTGGCGGTTGTTTGGTGGTGGCGGTGCTGCTGCTGCTGCTGCTGCTGCTGCTGCTGCTGCTGCTGGCTGGTGGTTGCTGGTTGCCGGTTGCCGGTTGCATTGTGCCTGATGCTTTGGAGCTTTGTTGCCTGGTGCCTGGTGCTTGGTGGTGGGGGGTGGTGGGGGTGGGGGGTGGGGGGCGGTGGGCGGGTGGTGGGTGGTGGTTGGGGGTGGATGGGTGGGTGGTAAAGATGTGTTTGATAACGTTGATGCCGGTGGCCTCGCTGACGAGTTTCTGCGGATGATCGTGGCAATGATATTAATATACATAAATCTCGCTGGTGGTGATGGTGATGATGTTGATGATGATGGGACGATGAAGGTGATGAGGATGCCCAAAATATCAATTACAAACGCTACCGACTGCGTGATGGGTGCCGTGGCATTTATCCTGGCTGAGAGTGTGCATCCGGCCTGTGCGGCGCAGGACTGCTGGACGAGGCAGCACGGGATGGGTGCTGTGCTCAGTCCGTGATATAGCCGTGTGGATTGGCCCGCGA